ACAGAGGCTGAATGAAATACCTCAGTCACAAAAGGACAAATACTGCACAGCACCACTGTTGTACAGCAGGACTAACATCAGAGTTGGGGGGAACTAAGAGCAGATAAATAATGTCTGATTCATTGAAACAGATGAGGGAGAGAGTTGTTTAAGAGGAATATATGATTAGGTATTACTGTCATGACAAGAGTCCAGAATGAACGATGCATAATGGAGTGGACTGGCGGTGGTGGTAGGTGGGGAGGGGATTGTACAACAATGAATTTTTTTTTAACTTTTCAAAGAGAAAAGCAAACTGGAAGGAGGAGTGGGCATGGAGGAAAGTATGCAATAAAGAATGAATGGAAATTCAAAGTCTCGTAAACTTTAATTAAAATAAATTTTTAAAAAAGGAAGGAAAAATTACCCATAACTCACTATGTTGTTGTTGTTGTTGTTATGTGCCATCAAGTCACCTGCGACTCATATCAACCCTATGTACAACAGCCCTAAAACCTGCTCTGTCCTGTGCCAGTCTCACTGTCTCAGAAACACCCACCTTAATTACCCTAGTCACTGAATCAATCCACACTTCATAGAGGGCCTTCCCCTCCTATGCTGTCCCTCCACCCTTCCACGTATGGCGTCCCTCTTCTAAGACCAGTCCCTCATTGCAACATGTCCAAAATATGTCAGACGAAGCCTCAGAAACCTTGCCTCCAAGGAGAAGCCTGGTTTAACCGTCTCTAGGCTTAACCTGTTTGCTTTCTTAGCAGTCTATGGTACATTCAATACTCTTCTCCAGCGCCATAGCTCCAAGGCATCAATTCTCCTCCCATCCTCCCTAGTCATTGTTCAGCTCTCTGATGCATAGCAAGTGATTACAAAGACCATGGCCTGTGTATCACATGCACCTTGGTCTCCAGAGTGACACCATTGCTCTTCAGTACCCCAGAGAGGTATAATTCCCTATAGGAAAATTTAAATTAAATGTCCCAGTAAGAGTTTTCATTGGTAAAGAAATGATTTTGTATAGAAAAAAGACCATACCAAAACAATTTATGCAATAAATATTTTTAATATATTACTCTGATTTGCTGTTTCTTGAAATCAAAGAACTTTTGCCATTTGATAGACCACTAAACACTGGAAAAATGCTTATTTTTATTGTGTACCCTCAAGTTGGAACTGATCCATAGCTGACCCTCTGATGGGTTTTCAGAGGCCCTTAATCACAGGAGAGGAGATTGCCCATCCTTCTCCCATGGAGCAGCTGGTGGCCTTGAACTGAGTGCCTTTAGGATTGCAGTGCAGCTTCTTGTCACTAGGCCACTAGAGCTCTTTGGAAAAGCATTTAATAATTAAAAGGTATTTTAATGTTCATTATGTATTAAGAAACAAAACATTTCCCTTAAAAAAACTTAAAAGTCTTTGTTTGGGGGGGTTATTTTGTATATTATTCTACTTGAGTTCATTTTCAAGAAAACTTAAGGGAAATGTTTTGGTAGTATTTAATGAACTTTGAAATGTTTTAGGATTTAGCATGCAGCTAAGGAATCTACATTCTAAAGTGATACCCGTGAGTTTTAAGATTTTACATTCTAGCCACCAACGCCTTATCCTGCCATCCGCAAAAATATAGATAAGCTCTGCTCTGATTCATTGTTCCTCAAAATCAAAGACCTTTGGCCATTTGAAAGACATTTCCAAACACTGGAAGAATGCTCTAAACTTTTCAAGTTCAATCTATCAAGTGATTCCTGGGACAGACGCCTGATTCTTAAAGTAACTCATTCTAAGCACATCTTTGAGTAAAAGATACCCACTTAAGAATACTGCAACAATGCATTTATGGCAGGAAAGCTAGCATAAACTGGTACAAATATCCCACACAGAGGGTCAGAATATGTATTTATTCACCAAAATATAGAAAAGCTTTTCTTTTTTTATTTCATCTGACACTATTATTAGTATTTATAATGGCAAGGTGAAAAATGCATTCATGTAAGAGGTTAAAGACTTAAAATCCTATCAATGCTTGGGGGGAAGAAAGAATTTTTTTTTTGGAGAATTTGTTTTAATTTCTAGATCTGTAGCTTGTATTTGTGGATCTGCAGTTTTAATATTAGTCTCTTAAAGTAGATTCCAGTCAGACTTACTGCAAATCCCACACAGAATGTGATATAAATACAACAGTTTCTCTCCTGAAAGACTTTTTGTCAACATCAGGAAAGAACTTGGGCACTGGATGAAGTGTTAGAAAATGAGAATTTTCATTTCCTGCTTCACAGGCACAAAGTAGAAAAAATAACTTTCGCACTGAGGTAAATGACTCATACTCTGTTACATTGATGGGGAGTCTTCGGATGGCAGAAATAGCCTACAAGTATGCAGGACCATGCATTAACTCAGTAAGCATTCCTTCAACCCACCCCTTGTTGCCTCTACAAGGTAGTGAATCATTCCATAAACAAAACGCGGGTCTGTGTCATTGGGGAAATACCTGAAAAATAACTAATATGAACTCTTCAGAGAATGTGTACAGTGTTTTCATCTTGCTTGAATGGACTGAGGTTGCTCAGGAAAGTGTGACAACTCTTTACCTTCCATAGATGAAGAAATTGAGGCCAGAAGTGTCACCTGAGAATGACTTGAGAGCACGTATACAAGAAAACCATACAATCTCTATATTTCACTCTAGATTCCAGAGTTGGGAAGCTCACTCTCTGGTTGCATCGACATGGTTCCATCCCATAGTCTGGAGGCTGAGGAGGAGGGAGCACTGCTTGACCTGGCTTTCATGTTTCTGAATGCTGACAGGATTTTGTTTGCACTACCTAATTTTGTTTCATACTTGTGTCTTGGCAACGTCTCCCACAGTCTCACTATAAATTCTTTGAAAGCAAAGCTCATATGTCTTCAGCCACTGAGAAAGTGCCAATAATCCCTAGCATAGAGCCAAGGACCTATGAATGTTCCAAAACACTTGCTTTATTCACTACCTGAATACACAATTGTTGGAGGAGCTATCTGAGAATGAAGGAATTATGTCAGAGGGAAGTGGAGCTCATTTATTACCCAATTGTACTTTTCTTCCATATGTAGAATTCTAATTATCCTCTTTATAACAATTTTTTTAAATGACCGTTATTTTATAACTATATGAAATATTTCAATCAAACAAGTTTTCAAACAAAGCTGATGAGGGGTATAACCTTTCTGGGTGTAACTTAGTAACATATAGATATATTATTTAAAATTTTTATTTTATACCGGTTTTCTTA